TTGTGGCGCTCCTCTATTATTCGATATTTTCTGACACCGAATTTGATCATGCAGTCTGCCCAAGGCTCAGCTCGGCGATTTGACGAGCGGCTCCTTGGATTCGTCGGATGTGAATAGAGCTTCACTTCCGACGGCCTCCTCCCCTCTCCCTACGGACGACGCCGAGGTGGAGTCCCAAAAGGGACTAAACCAGGAGGAGGTGGTCCTGGAGGCGCTGCAAGGCGACCTCCCAGACTCCAGGCCCGAAGGGGGTAAAGCCCCGGAGGGATCTAAGTCCAGCCCTGGGTCGGACACTGCTCCAGAACCATCAACAGTTCCAGAGACCGGTAGGCAGCGCCTTCGCAAGAAGGGCACGCCTACTACGCCGGCGGCCTCCGTCCAACCGGAGGCACCGGACGATTTGCTGGAGGCGCTTAACGGCGCCTCCATCGACGAGGAGCACCGCACTGTTATGAGTGCGGTGATTCAAAAGGTTCAGTCCGCCAAGAGCGGGCTTACCGAAGCTTGTACGAGCCTTCTAACAGGCTTTGAGGTAAGTATTCAAAACATATAAAAATGTTACCACATAGACAGTAGCCCTTGATGCTCAGTTTGGTGTTCGGAAAGAAAAGCCGAGCTGAGGATCTAAAAAGATATACACAGGAGTCTAATAAAAATATGTCAATATGGGAATGCAGGCTGCACTGCTGACCTCTGCCGCACTGACTGCGAAGGTCAATGCATTGAAGGAAAGCCTCGAGCGGTCCGAGAGCGAGCTCGTCCATGCCAAGAAGCAGCTCGAGGATAAAGAGGGTATGTAGTACCGCATGTAAATGTATATAGAAATACTTGGTTGCAAATAATGACAGGACCAACGTAAACGTTGCAGGGGTCACGGTCGTGGTGGCAACCCAGAAGGACGCGGTCTCCAAGGCCGAGAACAGTGCGGCCTTGGAGCGCACCGAGCAAGAGAAACAGGAGGCGCGGGTGGCGGAGGTGCGGCAAGAGCTCCAAGCTCTTGTGGAAAAACACGAGAGTTTGGAGCGTGACTCGAAGATCGAGAGTCCGAGCTTGCATTGGCTCTTGAGAGTGCCAAAAACGCTAAGGCCGAAGCCCAGAAGGCCCTCCAGGAGATCGAGGCGATAAAGAAAATAGCGGCGGGTGAGGCATTCTTTATGCAAAGCAAGCATGTAAAAGTAAATTATCTGTTACTTACCCGAATCCGGAGCTCTCCAGGAGCGTTCGCCGATCTGCCCTGTAGTGTGTCTGATGCTACCGCATTCTACCGAGCCGAGGAGGGAGCTCGACGGAAAAGGTGTTCTAATCTCAGTATGCTGAGGCCGAACATCCGGTGCCCCTGAGTGACCAGCTGAAGCAGCTGGTCGAGCTCCACAAGGTGGCCGAACAGGCCATGAAGGGCCTCATAGTTCGGCTGTGGCCTAGAGAAGCCATGCCTGGGAGCTACTTCAGTCTGGTGCGGCGGCTGGTGGACGCGTGTCTGTGGATTGAGGTCGTCAAGCGCTCCGTCTGCATTGAAGGTGCCCGTCGGGCCCTTGCCCGTGCTAAAGTGTACTAGGGCAAGCTGGACGCGTACTACAAGAAATATGCTATCTTGTGACCTCCACTATTGGTCACTGAAAGGTCATAGTTTTTCATTTGCGACCTTTTTGTGACCAAAAACATAAGGTCAAAAGCTGAGGGTCGTAAACTGACTATAGCGACCTTCTCTGTGAGAAGGTCGTGGACGTTTATGACCAAAATATTCCTACTATGGCGTTTTGGTCACTAGCAGCCTCCCCAGTCCACGTAGGCATCCAGCGTGGCAAGCTGATGTGGCCCAAGATTCAACCCGGTCCAATTCGGTGTTTATATGGGCCGGGCCCATTAATTCAGCCCATTTATATTTTTTCCCTATGAATTTTTTGTCAGCTTCATGGACCAAGCCCAACATTGCAGCCTTTTTGTTTTTGGGCCATGGCCTTTTAGTCTACTGATTTTCTATTTTCAACTATTATATATTCAAGCTGGTCCCACTAGTCAGATGGGTCCAACCTGTCATGTTCATCTCTCAAATTGGTCCCACATGTCAGAAATGTACAAATTTGACAAATTATTTTCATAAGTGGCCTCACTGGACAAGTTTCCATTCCACAAGTTTTCAAATCACATACATAATCAATATTTCAAATAGAACAAAGAACGCATAAAATTCATCAAATATACCACTAAATAATTGTATTATAATCTTTACAACACAGATATGCTACAATGAGTTGGACTTCACGGCTTCACACTTGGCTTCACACTTGCTTCACACTTGCTTCACACTTCACGACTTCACACTTGAGCTTCTGTAAAGGAGGAACCACCACAATTTTAAGTCTAAAATACAACAATTGATACTAATCAAGGATAAAAACAAAAACAAGTAATAGGTTCAAATGAGAAGGTAGCATGAAACTAGTGATACAACAACATGCAGAAAACACTACAATGTAATACTGTTGTAAGTTCATATCAGCGCAAAATCAGCACTATTATATAGAGCAAATGATATGCCCCCTTTTAATAAAACTGTAGTGTATGGTAGTGACAGGACAAGGGATTGTAGTGTATGGTAGTGACAAAACATGGGGTAAGACTAATATGATGTGCCAAATTGCCAGCAATAGTGCTTACATGCAACATCTTCATATTTCAAAACGACCAATAGACTAGTTAGCTGGCAAAACACTAAAGAAGGCATAGACAGAAACGAAGGTAACATGCATCAAAACAAAAAATAGTAAGCACTGAACCTACATCATATCTACAGTAACATCACCAATCAGGAAATTTATGAATAGGAGATGTATTAATAGCAGATTACGAACTAATGTACTTGTACTTGATCTGGTTGAATAAATGCAGATTAAGTTCCTGGTACAGCCAGCTCCAACTTATGCTAGTAGCTATTGACAGAAAAACAGAGAGAGAGGGGGTATACATGAATATATTGACAATCATCAATACCAGATTGCAAGACATAACAATTATGTACCTAAGCAAGTCGACAAAGGCATAGGGAAGGATATAAAATATGTATACAAGTAATAGACAAACTAGTTCCAACAGATTGACTAAATTGAACTGCTGTATAACCAAGTTAGAGCTGAAATGTTATTGAACATGAGGAGCAACAGCGACAACCCCACTGAATAAACCACATATAGTCCTTTGTTGCGGCATCAGAAAACATGAGTAGCGAGCGCAACATCCTGTAAGTATGAGGAAAACGAAATTGTTACAAAATTCAGTACATACGAAAGAGATATGCATGCTTGAGAGGTCAGACAAACAGACATAGAAATAGCCTGGCGCATGTATGCATCTATGTAATGTATAACAAGAAAATAGCAGGGGCGGATGTATCTATACTTGTGCAATGCAGATACAGATGTGCAGATTGAATTTTGTTCAGAGTAAATACATAGACAGATAGACAGTAAATAATACTAGATGGAATGGGATAGACCATGAGAGTAGTTGATTCATTCCGTTGTAATATATTAGCTAGTGTAATGAGATGGATGCAAGGGATTTCAAGTACAGATGGCGAGGGACAGAACAATACCTTCTGAACTGCTGAAGTTGAGGACGCGGGCGTCAGGTGCTTACATCGCCCCCGGCTGTACGGAGGAAGCACAACGGCCTCTGCATCTGTTCAGAGAAGAAATATTCATGATTGACATACTGTTCAGAGAAGAAATATTCAGGATTGACATACTGTTCAGAGAAGAAATATTCAGGCCTTACAAAAACAAGCAAACATTCATGATTGACATTTCTTTCCATGGTTCAGAGAAGAAATATCACAAACACTGAAAAAAGAACTACTCATCGTGTAGTTGTGACGTGCATAGTAGACATGGAAAAGATTGACATACTGTTGGACAGGACATCACATAATCATCATCCATACAAGAAATCATCTCAACACGTAACCAAACAGGTACAGAACCAAAAAAAGCCTGAATCTTAAGTTTCAGCATGCATCCTGATTGATTCATCAATCTAGTAAGTAGTGAACAAGTACGCACAGTGTTATTTTGAGGCCAGTACAGGCTGATTCAAAGTGTGATACATGCATCCTGCATAGAGGAGAGTGATGATGGTCCAGAAGCATGTTCAGAATACTTACTAAAAATACTTTTAAATGTTGACAAGTTCAATCTTGTTAAATACTCCAAGCAAAATTACTCCACACATGTATAATTCAATCTTGTTAAATACTCTAAGCAAAATTACTGGAGTACTACAAGTTAAATGTAATCCAAGCACATTGAGAAGTTAACAGTAGTGCTGATAACTTGGAGTAGCTTTGACTATGTACAAAGCAAGATGGAGGGTCTAGCTTACTGCTGCTACGCCACATATCAAATTTTACTTAACAGAGCAAGATGGAGTAACCCAAAAAAATTAACAGAGCAAGCAAATGTACTCCAAATGGCAGTTCACCAGAGATTTTCAAGTTAAAAATACTCCCAGGGGTAAACAACAATGACATGGACGAAGTAAAGGATGGATGTTGTAAATTAATCCAGTAATTATTTTTTGTTCTCATATTTTTCACCCTCGAGACACTGCCTAGAGCGCTTACAAGATGACAAAGTCAACTAGCAACTATGTATAGATGATGATAGGCCATCTGATGTCTCAGTATTTCCCAAAATTATTGAGCTCAGGTTCAACATGGGATGAGATCAACATATATATACCAAGACTTGGTGCGAGAGTATGGCATACAAGTGAAACGACATCACACTATTTTTGGCAATAGCAATATGCCGTCTGATCCCACTAATGATTCCCAAATCCTAAAAATAGCAGTCACCCGTGAACCGACAAGTCAACCTAGCACCTAAGATTCCAGTATCTGGACAAGCAGCACAATCTTCAAGAGCCAACTATATCAAGAGACATACTACCGAGTACTGACATACCACCAACTTGCTACGAAAGAAAGAAAGCAAAGAATACATCTAAAAAGTCCTACGAAACGAAAACCACCAAAATCTAGTTCCAGTCAGATTACGCAAGTACTGACATTTCACAAACGGCGTCGCTCTGGTGCTTGACGACTCTAGACAGTGCAGGGGAGCTAAGTCCACGGAACGAACAGGGAACGAACGCGAGCATGCACAATTACAAAGGGAAGGGATCCACGGGTTATACCTCGGGTGTCGTCGCGGAAGGCCTCGGGTGTCGTCCTTGCCGAGCCCCGCCAGCAGAGCGCGCACCGTCTTGGCATGGTAGGGCCCGTAGAGGTACTTGGCATGGAAGTCGTAGAGGAAGAGCGCGGCGCTGCACCTGATCTGGGAGACGGCATCCAGCTTCCCCCGCGGCAGGCCCAACACCCTGTACCTGAAGCACTCGGGCCTGGTCTCACCGCTCCACATGAAGATGTACCCCGCCGGCAGCAGCGGGCGTCGTCTTCAGGGGGATCCGTCGCCAGCTGAGCCCCCGGGCTCTTGCGCGCCGGAGGGGGGAGGCGTCTGTCGCCATGGACACGGAGGTGGAGCAGGGGAGAGCGACCTAGGGCTTTGGATCTCCATCTGGATCGGGGAGACGAGGTGGATGGCGGTGGTGGCGGCTAGGGTTTGGCGAGCGGGTGCGGGTGCGGGAGAGTGGGGGCGTGGGGGCTAGGGTTGGAACGGTGGGGAGTGGGGGCTGCGTGGGTGAGGGGGGTGAGAGGGCTACGTGGGTGAGAGGGTGAGGGGATGAGGTCCGCCGTTGGATCCCGGAGACCGTCGGATGCATGATCCGCGTGATATGCCTATAGACCAATCAGAACGCAACAAACAATTTGAAGACTTTACGACCTTTTAAATAGGTCACGAAAAAATCATTTTCCATTTTTTAGTGCTCAAAATGAGTTCTTTTTTGTAAAAGACCTAACAAATATTTGTTCAAATGATATTCTTTATATTCTTTATATTTGTTCTAAATGAGTTCTTTATACTCTACAAAAGTTTACATCTTGGAATAGTAAACAGTATCGACAAAGGGATTTTTTATATTCTTTGCACCAAAAATCATTTTCCATTTTTTGAGTGCCCTAAATGAGGTTTTTTGTGAAGGACCTACCAAATAATTGTTGCAAAATTGGACCAAATCATTTTTATAAAATACTAGGCCATATTTAATGCACAATTGACCAAATGGTTGGGTGAAAAAAGTTTTGATCCACCTCTGGTGAAAAAGACAAATTTCCACCGATTTAGGTGGAAGCGGGTCAAATTTGAACTGTAGCTACCTCATAGTTTGCTCTTTATTTTTTCCAAAAATCATTTCTAGGTACATAAGTATCTATTTAATCATAGAAGCACCAAAAAAATTCCAAGATTCAACCACTAGCTAGGAACGGTCAAGCCCGCCGTTTTGACCGCATTTTGAAACGGGTATAAAAAATTCAAAAAAAATCAAAAAATTGGAAAACCTTCGCATTGTGTCATTATATGTGACCAAGTTTCTAGGAAAAATAATAAACTTGTAATACGGTAATTATTTTAAAAAAGTGTTCTCAGAAAGGAGGTATCAAGCGTGAAGATTCACGGCTTTCAAGCCAAATGATCAATCTTATGGCCACATTCATGGCATAGTTTGTTCAAATGATCTCATATTGTGCACGAGGGTACATCTTGGAATTCCAAACAATGTTGCCTAAGGAAGTTTTCATTTTCTTTGCACGGAAAACTCATTTTCCATTTTTCGAGTCCCCAAAAGGAGGTTTTTTGTGAAGGAACTACCAAATAATTGTTGCAAAAATGGATCAAATCAATTTTATAAAATACTAGGCCATATATAATGCAAAATTGACAAAATGGTTGGGTGAAAAAAGTTTTGATCCACCTCTGGTGAAAAAGACAAATTGTTATCGATTCAGTTGGAAGCGGGTCAAATTTGAACTATAGCTGCCTCATAGTTTGCTATTTATTTTTTCCAAAAATCATTTATAGGTACATAAGTATCTATTTAATCATAGAAGCACCAAAAAAATTCCAAGATTCAACCACTAGCTAGGAACGGTCAAGCCCGCCGTTTTGACCGCATTTTGAATCGGGCATAAAAAATTCAAAAAAAATCAAAAAATTGGAAAACCTTCGCATTGTGTCATTATATGTGACCAAGTTTCCAGGAAAAATAATAAACTTGTAATACGGTAATTATTTTAAAAAAGTGTTCTCTGAAAGGAGCTATAAGCGTGAAGATTCATGGCTTTCAAGCCAAATGATCAATCTTATGGCCACATTCATGGCATAGTTGGTTCAAATGATCTCATATTGTGCATGAGGGTTCATCTTGGAATTCCAAACAATGTTTCCTAAGGAAGTTTTCATTTTCTTTGCACGAAAAATTCATTTTTCATTTTCCGAGTGCCCAAAAGGAGGTTTTTTTGTGAAGGAACTACCAAATAATTGTTGCAAAATTGTACCTAATAAATTTTATAAAATACTAGGCCATATATAATGCACAATTGAAAAAATGGTTGGGTGTCGAAAATTTTGATCCACCTCTGGTGAAAAAGACAAATTACCGTCGATTCAGTTGGAAGCGGGTCAAATTTGAACTGCAGCTACCTCATAGTTTGCTCTTTATTTTTTCCAAAAATCATTTCTAGGTAAATAAGTATCTATTTAATCAGAAATACATGGTTTGATGGTGATACATCGAGGTTTAGACGGTGGCCGAGGGCCCCAACTCTAGAGCGTGTAAGCTCGCATGCCCACCGAGTGGTCACCGCGTGACCGTGGCGTTGCCATGTGTTCTGGGCGGCCTAGGCATGTCTAGTGGGTTGGGCACTCCCCAGGTAGGTGCTAGGAAGAAAATCACAACATAAGATTCTCACGAGGAGACCGATCGATGCTCAAACATGAATAAGCAGCCAAGTGTTTGATTTGCGGTACGGGAAATGCACATGGCTAATGGGCGTGAGTTTTGGCTGAGGATGATCAGTTACTAAGAAGACCGTCTTCACAAATTTTCACCTCAAAAGGAGGAGCCTAGGTGGTACTTGCTTTACAAAGTACCACACTGGACATAAATACGAATGTTGAAGCTGGGCTCAAAATAATGAATGGATTGAGCTGGCATTTGGTGGAGGATGGTTATTTGGGCCTAGGAAAGCACTGTAGAAAATGGATACCATTTGGACATGCCAAAGTGGTACTTCCTTCACAAAGTGCTGCTCTGAACAGAATAGGAAAATGAATATTGTTGAGTTATTTTTGAACTAGGCAAGGAAGGTTTTTGACATATTTGATGAAGATGTGATCCAAAAAATTTATGAGATTTTTTTGGGAATTTTTGGAATGACAGAAATATAGGTTGCTTCACAACCTAGGGCAAAAACTGCCACATGGACATGACACATAGGCAAAACTGATGAGGTGGCGCCTAGTCATCACAACCAACCACAATCTACAAGGCTATGACCATCTATTTTGGTCGTTAACAACTAGAATTAAGGCAGCGAACCAGCCCTGTTTGCTTTGTGACCATTTGGTGTAAGGAAATTACGACCTTTCTGACCAAAATGGTCGCAATGGTTTAGGGTTTGGAGCCCCCTGAACAGCTTTTGACCAATTGGTCTCAAATGGTCATAGATCTATGACCAATTCTTCCAGGGTCACTGACAGAAGGTCACTAGTTGACATATTTCTTGTAGTGGCGGAGAAGCTTTTGACGGACGCGCCACTGCCGGGCAAGGAGTATCGCACGCCCGAGATGTATTATAAGGGCGTCCTGAAGGGTGCCCGCCGTATAGCGGATGAGTGCTCCAAAGATGTAATTTTTGAGTAGACTCGCATTTGTTATCCTGTACGCTGAAAACTTTGTTCATGTGCGTTAAGCAACGCTTGTTAATTTAAAATATCGCCTTCTGTGCGGCCGTTTATCAAATCTGAGAGATGCAAGTCGTTGGCTTCTACCCCCATGCCACGAGTGCTGGGGTGTTCGGGATAAACCTGAGCGCTCTTGTTCCCATTCTTGGGTCCATCTAGGGAGGCGCTCAGCACAACGAACCAGGCCATCGGACTTATAATGCTTTATCACTCTCACTTAGCCATAGAATTCTATAATTTTAAATTTCGGCGAAGCCCCTAGTATTCGGAAGACCGAGTTCGGGGCGCTATCCACGCCTTGGCCAGATAAATCCAGCTCCTCGCTCTAAGCGGCATAAGTCTTTAAGGACTCGAAAAACCTCGCGAACAGCGACCGGTCTCTCGCACTATCATGACGGCCAGTTTTAGCTTTCTCTACTGAGGTGTTAACCCAGCTCAACTGGGGCACAATCGCAGTAGTTCTCCCAGCGCTACCTTAGCCAACATTGCGGAACGTAAGGTACCAAAACATGGGAGCCGGGCAAACCCAACTATTGACCCAAGACATGATTCGGAGCCGATGCATATAATGCTATAAGTTCGGGGTGCCGCACTCAGGAGAGTGTTCGGTCTTCTCACACCATGTTATGGGGTACTTAAGCCCCTGGTGTATTGGCCGTACCAAAGTGTACGATTGCGTGATGTCATGACTGAACATATATGTATAAAAATAGATGAATACAGTAAAAGATAAGAGCTATGTCTTATTTATTAAAAAGGGCTGCTATGAAAGTAGAACAATACAAATAGTGCGATAAGCAAGAGATGGGATTATTTGACATGTCCCCCTCCAGGGGCAAGCTGGGGGTCTTTAAGTAAAAACAAGTATTTAACTCGTTATAGAGGCCACCTGGACATTCGACGCGGCTTGTTCTCGCCCTGGCTGTTGCGTCGTGTGTTCGGCGAGTGTACTGCCGGATAGGCCTTCCGAATAGGTGGTTCCTGAAAGTGTAAAAAATAAAAAAGGAAAACGGCGGAATAAGGAGCCCCTAAGTGCGGTTGAGCCGCATTCTGGGCGTGCCGTAGTTATGCCCCTCCCCTTATGCCCATGGTATTTTCAAAGCGTAATTATGTACGCGTGGTACCGATATCACCAGCTGGCGAGGGCTGGGGTTGGGGCCGCACTGCTATGCTTGCTCGGATCGTGCCGGCCTGCTATGTTGTAGGTTGCTTCGGGCGCGCTTGACATTGTCTGGATGTTTAACACCCGGATTGGAGAGTTGCCTTGAGAGGCTGCTCTGTACTTCCGCCGCCAGGGCCGCTGTGTGCTCCTCCGTTCGGAGAGAGCGTTCGGTGTTTCCATTTACCGTGATGACTCCGCGAGGGCCTGGCATCTTGAGCTTGAGATATGCGTAGTGCGGCACCGCATTGAATTTTGCAAATGCGGTTCGTCCGAGCAGGGCATGATAGACACTGCGGAATGGGACTATGTCGAAGATTAACTCCTCGCTTCGGAAATTGTCCGGAGATCCGAAGACCACTTCGAGTGTAACCGAGCCTGTATAGCTGGCTTCTAC